GGAATGTGGTGGCGATTGGTCATGTTCGATTGCAGAGCTGCCCAGATACAGTCTCGCCGACCTCGATAGAGTAGTCAGAAAGACTAGTTGGGGGTCGTCTCGAGAGATCTGGAACGCATCATAGACATTCGTAGTGATTGATAGCACGTAGTTGGCATGCATGGCAATGATGAGTACATCATGAGATCTCACCTCAACAAACCGTGACAAGCTATCGCTAGGGTACCTGGTGCGCATCAACGACCTTCTTATGCACCAACCGAGGCTTCCGCTGGGTGATTCTTTACGTTAGTCGTGCGATAGAAACAAGCTTTCGGTTCTGGATGAGCGAAGACACGGCTGAGCGCTGAAGAGTTTGCAAATAACGTATGTGCGGGCAGGCCTGGAAAGATATTCTAGTCTCGCGACGGCGTTTCTCTCAAGTTCTCGAGAGCAAAGGTCTGACATGTGAACAGACAGTAGACTCATTGTCATGATATCGTTCGTCCGCAAGTAGGCGAAGTATACGAAAACGGACTCCGACTGTTGCCTGCCACAGGGCCGAGGTAGAGCAACGCGGTAGAAACGACGGCTTACCAGGTCACCGGACACGACATTGCAGTAGCAGCGGGAGCCACAGCTGAGGCTCGTCGTATTTCCATGGGTCTAGCAGAGGCCAAGCTTTCGCGTCTTGCTGAGCGGACTTGGCAATCTGCAAGCCATTATTGAACGAGGCGACATTCTCGAACAGCATCGGTGAGACCAGAATGGAAAAGTGCCGCAGAAGTCCCATCTAGTCCTTCGCTACTGCACACTGACAGCCTCAGCTTATCGGACTTGAGAAGATGGCGGCGCCATTGCGAAGACAGCGAAGCAACACGATGGTAGCAGAGACGACGTGGAATTTTCCCATGCAGTGTCAACATTTGCATGATACGAGTCTATTGGAAAGCTGACATTGGCTTGTACGAATGCGTGGAGAGACACCAGAGGCGATACTGGCAGGGGTCTGCTGAGGAACAGGGCCCCCGATTTAGTATCACCCTTCTCGCGTGTCCAAGTGCCGTCGCGGGGTGGTCTCGCAGGGTTAAGCGGATGGATGTCGAATTAGCGGAAATTTTCCCATGCTAGATATTTTCCGACGCTGTGCCATGGTCGAGCTCAGCTCGGAATTAATTGCGAAGTAGGTGTGAAGGACAGACTCCACTCTGATATAGCAATTGCATGATCTTGCTACTGTTAGTCCGCGATCGGGCCAGAGTGGGGGTCTTCTCGTTCCACCATGTTCTGATCTCAGCGTGGTGCGACAGCTATTCCAGACAATAATCGCTGCGCGGTCCTACGTGGACGCGATAGTAAGAAAGCGACATCCAGTGTTGTGGCTTGACATTGTGCGCAAGGCTATCGACAGAATCAGATGCTTTTTGTTTTGTTTCTTGGGTCAACTCCAGTTCGGCGACGCAGTTGTTTTGGCGGATTGTGACGGGAGGGGATTTGAAGCTCGTACACGTGATGGTACGACTTGACCAATGGTGAAGCTGTGTAATGAAATGTGAAGACACGAGCCGTGCATTCGGCATGCATGAATTCCGCGCTGATGCTGCATTACGGGGTAGCTGAGGTTAAGCTGTGGAGAGGCGTGGTGGCTTGAAGGGCTTCGAATGACAGGCTGAGCGATCTCCACGCCAAGGCCGACGGGCGCTAGCTTAGCGCCGATCGCAGCTTGGTCACAGTCCAGACCTCCCTTTCCGCAGCCTACCTTCAAACTTCTCCGCTTGCGATGAACACACACACACACCAGCACCGGCACACTGGCAAGCAGTCCCCCGGACACGAAACTGCTATTCCTGGATCGAAGGGACTCCTAAACAAGCCTGGCCAAGTTGACCGGTCTCTCGCGTACCACGATGCACTAGCAATTAGCGCCTCACAGCTCACACGCTGGCAACAATGTTCAGCCCTAGCAGGGCGAGACTGCTACGAAAGTTCTCATGGAGGGCCTGAATCGTGTTGACCGCTCGTACCCAGCCGTCGTCTAGGCATGTAGAGCGCCATCCGTAAACGAAGACCTTCCTGACTACACCTTTCCGAGTTGAGACTGTCGGTCTTCCCGAAACAGACTCTGCAACTCGTTCGTTGCTCACTTTGCCTACTAATATCCGTCACATGATCATGGTGAAGAGCAGGCAAGACCTGGGATTCTCGTGGTCGAGAAGATTCAGATGAGTCAAGATTGAGTTCAGCATCACCTACTCATATGCACCATTCGGAGATACTGATCGAATTCATCCCGCACTTGTAAATGGAGTTGTCTCTCATGTTGTTGCATCAGCATGGGCTAGTCATCCTACTGGTCGCCAAGACTCATCAGCTTTCGCTCATCGCCTAGCTCTTGCTCATACCAAGCCTCTCAAGCCATGTCTAGGCATGGATCCCATATTCTCGGCCTTTCCAGGCAGTGGCTTGAAGCAGACTACGGTATGGTGAATATCGACACACTCAGGCAACAGTAGCGAGAACGCCGAATGGCGTCTCCTGCCGGCCCTAGACTTCACATCCCATTCTTGTGGGAGTACACTTGCCACGATGAGGGATGGTGGGAACGGGGGTCTGGCCGGATGTCATGAAGCAGGCGTATTCGAGACCTTTTAACTCCTGTATACCATGAGATGGGGATGTATAAAGTGTTCCAAGACGCCAGTGTACAACAGAGCATCAGCCCAATTCACTTATATCTGCTCATCTCCTGATCTTCATCCGCCTTCACTACGCCATGAAGAACTATCTTTCCATTGGAGTCACAGCCCTCTTGGCATCACAAGCACTTGCTGGCGACGACGAGTGGCTCAGCCCAGTCTACAAGCAGATTTTTCAGAACCCGCTTCCTATCCCCCAAGATAAGGCCAAGTCGTACACCTACCGAAACAAGACGACAGGGAATGAGATTGACTTCTACGAGGTCGATGTGAAGCCATTCACACAACAAGTCTACCCTGGGCTTAAACCTGCCAACCTTGTTGGATACGATGGAGTATCACCTGGTCCTACTTTCCGCATGACCAAAGGTCGTGAAGCCATTGTTCGATTCAAGAACCACGGCCCCAAGGACCTTTCAGTGCATCTTCATGGTTCCTACAGCCGAGCACCTTTTGATGGGTGGGCCGAGGACACTACCAAGAACGGCCAATACAAAGACTATTGTGAGTACAGGCTGTCACTGGCATTATGCCACATGAATGCTAATAACTCTAGACTACCCGAACAAGCAGAGTGCGCGAACTTTGTGGTACCACGACCATGCCATTCATCACACTGCGGAGAACGCCTACTTCGGACAAGCGGGCTTCTACATTCTCCATGACCCTGCTGAGGATGAATTAAAACTACCTTCGGGCTCATACGATGTACCTCTGGCACTGGCCTCAAAGCAGTACAACAGTGACGGCACGCTTTTTGATCCGGCAAGCGAGACTGTTTCCCTCTGGGGCGACGTCATCCACGTCAACGGTCAACCCTGGCCTTACCTGAAGGTAGAGCCACGCAAGTACCGCTTCAGGGTGCTCAACACAGCCATCAGCCGTGCCTTCAAGCTCACTCTTGAGGACCCTTCCGCCAAGAAGGTTCCATTCAATGTCATCGCCGCAGACACTGGTCTCATGTCCAAGCCTGTGCCGACCGACAACCTTGAGATCTCAATGGCTGAACGCTGGGAGATCGTCGTCGACTTCAGCGCATATGCCGGAAAGAACGTAACGATGAAGAATGCTCGCGACGTACAAGCAGACGAGGACTACAACAGCACTGACAAGGTTATGCGATTCGTGGTCGGTTCCTCCGTCTCCAGCACCGCCGGCAACGGCGCTCTCCCAGGCTCTCTGCGTACAGTACCTTTCCCACCCAAGAAGAGTGGCATCGACAGGAGCTTCAAATTTGGACGCACCGGCGGAGAATGGACCGTCAACGGCGTCACCTTTGCCGACGTCAATAACCGCATCCTCGCAAAGCCCCAGCGCGGCGCTGTCGAAGTCTGGGAGCTTGAGAATTCATCCGGCGGCTGGAGCCATCCCGTTCACATCCATCTCGTCGACTTCCAGATCCTGAGCCGCACCGGAGGCAAACGAAGCGTTCTTCCCTACGAACGAGAAGCTTTGAAGGACGTAGTATTGCTTGGTACTAACGAGAAGGTCACCGTCATCGCCCGCTACGCCCCATACGACGGTGTATACATGTTCCACTGCCATAACCTCATCCACGAGGACCACGACATGATGGCTGCTTTCAACGTCACCAGCCTTGCCAACTTCGGCTATCCCGAGACAACCAAGTTCATTGACCCGATGGAGGAGAAGTACCGCTCCAAAGATATCAATGAATACGACGACAAACACATCGATGAGAAGTGCGCTGAGCTTGAGGCTCTGGAGGCTTACACTGAACCTGAGAAGGTTGAGCAGGCGCTTGTGGAGTACTGGGCCAATGGAGGCAAGGGACCTAGCACGCTAGTCACCAGCACTCGACCAGCTTCGTCTTCTTCTTCATCTTCCTCGTCTGCTACAGACGCTGCTTCCTCTACGACGTTGCAGACAAGTTCTACACCACTGTCTATAGCTGCTGCTGGGGCTATTTCTTCCTCGCCGACGATAACTTCAGCGCCCAAGGCGACAAGTACAAGTACGAGGAGGGATGACAAGAAGACATCGACATCGTCCACCAGGAGAAGGTAGAAGAGGGTTGAAGGTTTTAGGCGTTGCTTTTCTTTTTGTACATAATCTTTCAAGGCGTTCTAGAGGCAGGTGGGATACATATCATGACGACACGACATTCCTTATACAGCGAGATCATTCAATGATATTCGCTTTTTTTACCACAATGACACCCCTAGTCTGACAATGTGAACATGTAGCCCGTGCCGTAGAGGCGATACTGATTTAATGGAATGGTGCATGCTTGTTAACCACCCTACCACTTGTCCCCAGCACCCGGCCTCGCAGAAGTGATTTGTTCGGCGAGCCTACACAAGGCTATCCGTAGCGCCCCTCCAGAGCTCTACTCACGATCGCCCTCTCGCCCCGTCCAGCATGAAACCTAGAGAGGGCGTTGAACATCCTGCTCTCCTCTTTACTCCCGCCAAAGTCCCAATTCTTGTACAAATTCTCAGCAGCAGCAGGTCCCAGATTGTTTGGGTCAATGCGACGCCCACCGTGGGCGAATATGTCGCGGCCACTGAAGAAATTCGCTGCACTCCAGTATTCGCCGATCTGGGGTTCCTTTTCCGTGTTCACTAGATCCGCAATGCAGACGTCGCCCGCCCATGTCTTTTCGTCTGGTGTAGTTTCCATGGGACGCATGTAGTGCTTCTGCATGATGTTGAAGACCTCACGTAGCTGGTCCATTCTCTTCGCTGGGAGATTTGGCTGGCGCTTGCGTAGTTTAATTTCGTTGGCGGCAAGGGTCAGGATTCGGAGAACGATAGTCAGAGAGAGAGTGGGCTTATTCTGTTCTTTCAGGAAGTCGTTCTCGAAAACAGGGTCGCTACGAAACATGTCCAGGATGTCCCGGAGAATGTCGCTGCAGAGGAGGAAGAGCTTTGGTGTGCAGAAATTGAGATTAACGGCGTCCGCCTCGAGCCATAGCATAACGGACCGCAAGGTTGGGACAGGGTCCCATGTTTTGTCGAATTTGTGGAAAAAGAGCCTATGGTACGTCCATCCTTCGGGCGAGAGTGCGTCAGCTGGCCAATTGAACAGCCGTACTCGCTCATGTTCTTGTCTTTTGTCGCCGAAACTATTCAAAAAGCGACGGGTCAACTCATCGACTTTTTGTGGCGTTAACGGAACTTTGCGCACATCAAACTGATCTTCTAACACGGCATCTAAGTGGGAAGGACTCTGGAGAACTCTGCTTCGCAGAAGACGTTTTCCGATCGTGCTAATTGTACGGTATGAGTGGCCATTGATCGCATCAGTTACACCGTACTGGAGAAGTTCAAGCCGTCTTTGAGCCTCCACAATGTCCTGCGGTATCTTCCCATAGAAGAGTCTTTCCAGGTCCTGGCGATGCATGAAGAACTCCAGATCGGGGAAGTGCGGAGCATCAGGGAACAGCTTGCAGCATATGTTGTACAGGTGAGCGACACTCAGTACATGACTATGATTGGCGTCATGTGAAATTGGGAATTTGCGCACCAACGATCTGATAACGTATATGTAGACGCCACATCTAAGGTGGTGGCTGCGCATAAAAAGGTCCTTTTCCTTGACGAAGGGGGTGCCTGGACAAAGCGGATCCACTTGTGTCGGTATTCGTATGCCACGATCATTCGGATTAGCTATGGAGCTTTTCACGACTCCTTGTAGAAGCAGAGTAATCTGGTCATCGAAGAATCCCGTTTTGAGGTCTAATATGAGCCCCTCAAGCGAATCAAAGTCTTTGCCTCTATGGACGTCGACAAGACTGTTAGGATGCGTCTTGATTTCTTGAACAAGTATGGACGCCGTTGTCACTTCTCGTCGTAAATCCTCGAGCGGGTTACCCACGGAATCCTTCGGAAGATCATTGATTTCGAGTTGGATCTGCATAGCAAAGGTGAGCCAAAAAGGTATTGCATCTTCCTTATCCATGTATCGAATGCCGCGGGTTAATTCATCCTCCGGTATGTTATGTAAATTCAACGAAACTTGGTTGAGAACGTAAAGCACTGAAGCCATATCTCGCGCACCGAAAACGTGAGGATGAATGTCTCGATCCTGGTGCTCCTCCCTAAGATTGTGCACCAAAAACGCCGCTAGGTGTTGCGATCTAGGAGCCCACTGAATGGTGTTGAGGAGCAATTTCAGGCCGTTGTACACAGGGTAGAAGCAAAGTCGAGATTTTGCGCCGGAGGTTCCCACCATATCAGAAGGCTCGATGAATCTTTTGAGGCCGATCTTATCCCCAAGTTTCTCTGGATAGAGCTCTCTCAAAAGGAGCAAAGCAGGTAGGCACCAGACAGGAAAATCCTTCGCCGGGTACTGAGGCGGACGTGATAGACTTTGGTCGAACTCGTATTCTTTCTGTCGCACGATTGCGATCGCGGTGTTCGTGACGAACGCTTTGGTCATCAGATCGGACTTTCCTGTCCATCGATCCAAGACATACTTCCGAATAGATTGCATGTCCCTTACGAAGCTTTTGATGTCGAGGAAGAAGTTTTCCTCTACATTCGCCTCGTCCAAGCTAATATCTACTGCCGGGACAGAAGGCAAGTCTTCTACGATCACGGGCTGTTCAATAGACTCCTCATCGTCCTCGCTGGTATCCTGCAAAGCCAGTTTGGAGAAGCCTAGTTCTAGTGCGGTCGTCGTCGAGGAAGCGGTTTTGCCATTCGTTTTTTCATTGTCCGGCTTGGGTATATGCGGTCGCAGAATATCCAGTGTCCTCTGGAGGCGCGAAGAGAAAGCATCATGCTGCTGATCCGCGTTTGTATCGCAGCTCTTGAGGCGATACCAGGCTGTCACCTCCCGCCGAAATCGAATAGCCCGAACTAGGATTGTACGTATAAACGAAGGTATAGATGTCTTTTGTGGATTGTCCACGATACATTGAGCCATTGGCTCAAAGTCACATTCGCAAATCTCATGATTGTAAGAGTTGTTGTTAGAAGGCGTCGGCACAAACCCGCATTTCCGGGAAGCCTTCAAAAGATATCCAGCGATGTACTTGGTGTCGCGCTTGTATTCGCTGCGATTGTACTCGGCTTCTGGCGGCAACACCATGGTGGCAGTTGCTGCCGATGTAAGTAAGATGAGAGCGCAGTGGAATAAGTAGATATTACTGTGGGTGTTCTGTGGGTGTTCCCAGATCGTCGCTGCCCGTTTTTCCAAGGCTGCATTCAGGCGTGGACGACACAGATGAAATGAAATAGTACAAGTAGCAACCACGGGAAAAGGTTCCTAACTCTCAACGGACTAGGAAACAAGAAACTTATACGAAATGTAGATGCAGCGTATGCATTGAGGATAGTGGAGTGAACGTCTTCGGATGACGCGGGTCCGCGGCGAGGATTCCAGGGCCAATGCCAAGGCGTCAGTGCAGACCGCCATGCGGAGACCCCAACCAGAGTTTCGAATTGTGAGCGAGTCCAACCCCTTCATAGCCAATTCACCAAAATGACGAATCTGGATATGCTGCTGCTCAAAGGAGCCTCTGCGAGTAATCCAGAGGAGGGTCTCCAAGAATTGCGCTACACAATCTTGACCGAAGGCATTCCCGCCAACAGCGAGGGCATGGTATGTTCTCCACATCATACTGCGCATGGGCGCAATCTAGACTCGCTCAATGAATTCCGTATACTAATTTCTACCGGTCCAGTCCGAGCTGCGCATATACATCTGGCTCATCCTACTCAACGCGCCTCCTCTCCGCACCGACGTATACCTCGATCTCGTCCGTCAAGGCGCCTCTCCTGCGCACGCCAAAATCCAAAACGATACCTTCCGCACCTTCCAGGGAGATCCCCTCTTCCGACGACGCGTCACTCAGAATAGCATTACGCGTGTGCTCAACGCGGTCGCGTGGAGGCTGAACGATGCGCACGAAGCACGCGTCAATGGCTGGCAGTCCCCACCAACACTATCCGAGTTCGGCGGTAGCCCAGATACCTCGATGATGTCGCGGCATTCCCTCACTGCGGGTACGCGTACGGAAGCGTCGACTACGAACGACGCGGAGCAGATTGGTTACGTGCAGGGCATGAATGTGCTCTGTGGACCGTTTCTGTACGCGGCGAGGAGTGAAGTCGAGGCTTTCACGGGCTTCGAACGGCTCATTACATACGAGTGTCCGGGCTATGTGAGGGGATCGATGGAAGGTGTGCACAAAGGTCTTGCGTTGGTGGATAGGGTGCTAGAGGTGGTCGACCCCAAGCTGTACGGCCATCTTATGGCACACCACATGGAAGCCAAGATCTACGCTTTCGCATCCGTACTCACCATGTGCGCGTGCACACCCCCGTTGCCAGAGGTGTTACAGCTCTGGGACTTCCTCTTCGCATACGGACCACATCTGAACATTCTGTGCATTGTGGCTCAGTTGGTTCTGATCCGTGGGGATATCCTGAATAGCCCGAGGTGAGTACAATCTCCACACATATCCGAAGCAAGACTGACGTATTCATAGCCCCAACACGATCCTACGTAACCTGCCTGGTCTTAACGCTCAGAAGATCGTCGCCGTGGCTATGAGCTTCGCCGGCAAGATACCTGAGGACATGTACGCTGAGATCATCAACCACGCAAAGTGAGCTGGTGTAGAACGGGGAGACTGAGATATGACACTGCGGTTACGATGTATGATACGACTTAACGATTAGATGATACCCACGAGAGATAGCTTGCGCACAGCAATGTATGAATGTTAGGATTAAAACCCGATTCTTCTAGTTGTGAAACTGTTGAACACTATGTGCATGCGAGCAAAATGCGGAATTGCTGTTACAACGATCACGGCAACGCTCATGGGATGTCAGCATCATCGTCATCCCCACCAAAGCCAAAGCTAAACCCTCCGACTTCTTCCTCCTCGTCTCCCTTCGTCAGCTGCTCCCACTTGCCTTTTCCCTTCTTTCCCTTCCTTTCCAACTCCGCGAGGCCCTCCTCCAGCAACTCGGGATGCTGTTCCTGAAGTCGCTCTACGAAAAGCTCATACGCGCGATCGCAAACATCTTCCTTGAACCCACTTACTTCGCCGCGCTGGTCACGCAGGAAGCCTAGTACATCAGGCAATTTCTTGCGGGGTACAAAGTTTTGCGTAAGAGCCAGGCTGTCTTCCAGATTGAGCACTAGGTGGAACCAGCCGGACGGTACATGGAGTACTTCACCAGCGTAGCAGATGCCTTCTTTGCAGCCGGGCGTTTGGCGGGCGAGTTCATGGAAAGTGAGCATGTACTCTGCGATGCTGAGCGGAGAGGTGATCTCGGATTGATCGTCGCTGACGATGACACCGGGTGGAGGTTCGATGCCTGGGCCGGCGGGAAACATGAGCCAGTACTTGCTGCCTGTCAGGACTGCGTTCCATGCCGAAGTTGCGTTTGGATCCTTGTGGAACGTAGAGCCGCTGCGCTTGGGACCCATGATCATCCATCGGCAGTCCGGTCGGTGTTCACCTAGGACACTGAAGAGATCGTCGCCGAAACATGTTGGGCTCCAGTATGCGGCTTCTTTGGAATGCGGTGCCGCTGTTATGTCTACACCGGTCTTCTCGGCGAACGCGCGATCGAAGAGGTACAGGGGTGACTCGTCGGCGTTGTCGTGTATGTAGGACATGTATTTTTTCATAGGCCAGTCGACTGCTTCCGCGCGGAATTTGGTTTCTGGGAATTTCTCGAGGAGGTACTCTGGCGTCCAGGTACCGTATACAGGCCATTGCTTGACGGGTGTAGTGAGCACAAAAGGCTTGTCCACCCAGGTTTCGGCGTACTCTTCGTAAGTCAGATCTGATAGTCGGGCTATCTCATTTTGTTTCGGGATTTTGAAAGCGTAGGAGTTTAGTTCTGTGTGGGCGCACTGAAATGGTCGATAAAGAGTGTCTGAGAAAAGGTTGGTGCATGATATTGAAGTGACGTGCTCTCTTGGAATCTTCAGGTAGGTTGCTCGCCAGGTTCCACGCCACTCAAAGTCTTCAGCTGGGGAGCTGTTTAATTGTTAGCGTTCGATTGAAAAAGTGTGATTGTCTGGTATTTTCAACGCAAGCAAACGAGTGATGCATGTTGAGCCTGGTATAAAGCAGAAGCAACGCTCTATTCTATTGGGAAAATGCAATTTCGTATATACCACGAACTTACGCATAATCGACTTGAGTAACAATCTACCACTCGGTCCCGGGGAAATTTAGAACGCCCTGAGATGATCTCGTCTCCTGCACCTCCACTGCCGAGGCGCGGTCAGGCGTGCAGGCACAGTCATACCGATCCAAGAGAGTTTACAAGGAACGCCTTCCTTCACATACACCGCCTGACCGATTACATGACTGGACGATGACTGGAAACGTAGGAATGACTGTATACAAAAAAAGATGGGGAATGCAACATGTTGTGTATAGCAACCGTGGTACTCACCTTACGAACAAAGCCCGCCATAATTCGTCCAACCTCGTAAAGGCATACAAAGCGCGGCATGTACTCCCCAAGCGTATCAGAACGTCAGCTTCGAATGACTCAAAGATGTGGCTCAGTAGCTCATCGGGTAAGCTGGCGAACAGTCCGCATCTCGATTTGATATTCTCGGACGCAGTATACGCATTGCCGGCCGGCTTGATACCCAGAGGATGCGAGGGGACTGCGATTGCCGCCGCCGCCACATCATCGTCGTCGCTCTCGACTTCAGTCGCCACAGAAGTCTTGACTCTTTTCGACGGTCGTGATTCGACAGTGGCAATGCCGGGGTGGTCCAGAATGCCGGGGTGGTCCAGAATGCCGGGCGCCATGTCAAAGATGGACCGGGCACGATGCTTGGTGTTTGCTCAGCGCAGACGTTTTCAAGGCTGCAAGTGGTCTAGGAGGCAAACCAAGGGAGAATGAACAGAGTCATAGGCTGACGCTGGAGCGAGCCAGTGGAAGTGAAGGCGGACCTAAGTGGGAGCCGTGGGCGCATTTGAACTAGCGTGCTTTTGGCACTAGCACACTGCTGAGATTTTTTGTGGCCGACCTCTTAAGCCAAAAAGCGCCCACCTTCTCTGTCCCTCCATCACCAAATCCACCACACAACCAATACACACACTACCCTAGATACCCGTTTGATTCTCTTGCAGAGGATCTGGTATCTAGCTTTTACTACACAACTTTTATACACGCGGCGGCATCCAGAGGATCCTCCGCTTTAACCCCGCCACGAGCAACACTTCGACTACGGTCCCGCACCAGTAGTCGCTCCTTCCAGTCGCAATCATGGCTGACAAAGGTCTTGAGGACGTGCCCGAGGGTGAGTTGTGCCCCAAGTGCTGTCCCGCTGCTCCTCGAAACTGCGCGCCCCGCAGTGCGAGGGCGGCGGCGACGATAGCCTCACCTGCAAACATTTCTGCGAGCCCCGGCTAACCCACACGCAGGCCAGATCGAGTCCAACTACGATGAGATCACCGACTCGTTCGACAACATGAACCTCAAGGCTGAGCTCCTCCGTGGAGTCTACGCCTACGGTTTCGAGCGCCCCTCTGCTATCCAGCAGCGCGCCATCATGCCCGTCATCAAGGGTACGTTTGCCCACCCCCACCACCGCACAACCCAACAAGCGACTGACATATTTTAGGCAACGATGTCATCGCCCAGGCCCAGTCCGGTACCGGTAAGACGGCTACCTTCTCCATCTCGACCCTCCAGAAGATCGACTCCAACGTCAAGGCCTGCCAGGCGCTCATCCTCGCCCCCACCCGCGAGCTCGCTCAGCAGATCCAGAAGGTCGTTGTCGCCATCGGTGACTTCATGGACGTCCAGTGCCACGCCTGCATTGGTGGTACCAGCGTCCGTGACGACATGAAGGCCCTCCAGGACGGCCCCCAGGTCGTTGTCGGTACTCCCGGCCGTGTCCACGACATGATCCAGCGTCGTGTCCTGAAGACCGACCACATGAAGATGTTCGTCCTCGACGAGGCCGACGAGATGTTGTCTCGCGGTTTCACCGAGCAGATCTACGACATCTTCCAGCTGCTCCCCCAGTCCACCCAGGTCGTCCTTCTCTCCGCCACCATGCCCCAGGACGTCCTCGAGGTCACCACCAAGTTCATG